ACCCCTTTCCCCCTCCCTAGCTAGGGACCCAAGCTTGGAGCCCCCCATCCCATAGGCCTTGTCCCGCCCATAAGCCCCAGAGCTGACCTTAGTCTGGAAGCTAAAGACGGTGACTGAGAGGCAGACGAGAGCCGTGATGCCCAGACACAGCAGCACAGATGTCGTGTTGTAGTAGCTGCGGGACACAGGGCCGGGGGGCTCAGCTTCAGGCCGGGGTCCTGGTTTCCCCCGGCCCTCCTCCCAGGCCCACTGCCTTCTGCGGGGACCTGATCCCTCAACCTCTGGCCCCCAGCCTCTCTCCTGGGTTCTGCCCTCCCCAGCATGCTTAGACTCAAACTCCTCTTTGCAGAGGATGGAGAGGGGTTTGTGCTGGTACCAGGGAGGCTTACAGGGAGTGGTGTGACCACCCAGGCTGGGGTCTCTCAAGCTGCAGTTTGAGAGAGGTCATCTTGCTCTCCTCCGTTCCCCACCTCCACCCCCCAACCTGGCCAGGTCCTGCCGTCACTGTTCAACGGAGTGTGAGAGAAGAGGGCTCCAGGCCAGTGTTTCCTGCCTGCCTGGACCTCCACCCTCCCTGAACGCTCTCTGAAGGGGTATGTTCAGGGGCAGCTCCCCTCAGGGAGTGGCCCGTTCCCTTCCACCTGTCCCCTTTACCTGGACAGCATCCCAGTGAGGTAGGCCATGGACAGGGTCTGGAAGGAGAAGCAGGATGAGGGAATGCTCCAGAATCCAGCCTTTGGGGGCCCAGTCTGGGCCTCCACTCCTTGGGCACACCCCTCAACTCTGCATCGGCCTCGCCCCCACACATTCACTTCTACAACTCAGGCCTGGTGAGGAGCGTCCTGACAGGCCTGCACTAGCTGTGTTCCCTTCTTCCTTTTGCAGCCCTGCTCTTCCCTCCTCTCTATGACCTACTCTTCTTTATCCATTGCTCTAGGATGCCACATTCAAACCTCTTAAAAACAACATAACAAAGAAAAGAGACAATGGCTGGAGGAGTCAAGGGTGGGGGAGACTAAGCCTATTTGGAAAGAGAGGGTGGGATGTCTTTGTTGTAGAAGGGGGGTGAAAATACCCCGGCCTCCACCAGTCACCTCCCATTGGACATCTGCAGCCCAGACTTCCTGGCCCTGGAAGCACCCCCCCGCCCCCCCCGCTTCCTCCTCCCACTATGTGCACTCAGCATCTGTCCCCAGCTACCCCCAGATCACTTACGAAGATGGTCAGGAGAATCAGGTTCCAGGGGAAATGCCTCCTGTAAGGCAAACCACCGAGTTCAGAGGAGATTGGGGGGTGCCGGCAGCCACGGGCTGGGTCATTGCAGCTGGGAGGGGGGGGGCCTCTGCCTAACCCCATCCCCACTCCTTGGAGCCTCCTCCTTCAGCCACACCCCCAGGTGCCCCCATCTGTCGGTCCACACCACCCTGTTGCCACCTGAGAGGCGCCAAGGGAAGGAGGGAGGGGCAGGCTTGATGGAGCCCAGAGGGTAGAGCCCTCTCAGAAGTTCACAGCACACTGGCAGCAGGCAGGACTGGGGCCAGGGCTTTCGAGATCCTTCTCATGTTCCCACAAGTTGTTCCTCAAGCCATCACATACCTAGGTCCAGAACAGCAGGCCAGGGTCAGATAGGTGGCGAAGAATACAGCACTGTGAGAAACAGATGGGCAGTCAGCCCTTGCCCCCTGAGGCCCCTCCACCCAGTCCCCTGCTCATTCCACTCTCTGCCCGCCCCCCACCCTGCCGTCCACAGGCACCAGGTAGTATGATTGGGTCGGGAGAACGGTGTTTAAGACCTTGGTCGTCCTAGAACCTGGCAACGGGCAGGATGGTGGTACAATTCCAAAAGCCAGGAATGGGAATTGGGTGAGCCTGCTTCTGGAAACATGGAGTCTTGGGTGTCACGGACAGCTGACCACCCGATCCAAAGTGGCCTTCCCAGACACTCCCGATACTTCATACAGAAAGCTCGTATACGGTGTTTTCTAGGTGCCAGGCAGAGTGCCAGCTGCTTTCTGAAGACTAATATAATCCTCACACCTTCTTGCTCCAGAGTCCTAATTTATCACCACTGCCCCACGCTGCCTCCTTCAGTCCCCTCCCACCTTTCTCACTACATGTAATAACCTTGTTACTTTATTGGTGGTCTACCCTACTAGGCTGCAAGTGAATCAGGTGAAGGGCCCTCATCTGTCCTGCCAGCGCCTGGCACAGGCAGGAGGTACCCGTGGTATGAATTTCGGGATCAGATGGCCATGTCCAGTGGAAGACTGGAAGGGAACTCAGGCACAACCCCAGAGACAGGGATTGAAGATTGAGGATTTTCTAGAGAGCAGGGGAAGTGACGGCCAGTCTGGGAGGTAGAAGATGAGGGGCTGAGGACCCAAGGGGCACGCTCACGCCTACCTACATGGATGCCACCACCAATGCATGGTCTCCAGCCCCCGGTGGACCCTGAACATGGCACCTGCCATCCTCGCCCATCTCCCTTCTCACTTTGTCACCTATCCCCCAGAGCAGCAATTCCAACCGTCCTCCCTCATTTGCAAACCTCCCGGGCTGCCTCGCTCCTGCAAGGTCTGGCCTGGTGTGTTCCAGAAAGATTTGAGATGGCATGGAGCTCCCTTGGCCCCCTGCCTGCCACTGGCAAACGTAGTATCCCTTTCTTCTGTCCTTCCATCCCAGGCCAATCGCCCCAGCCTGGACTCTGGGCCCCACACCCTCAAACGCCCCTCCATGTCTATCTCTACAGCATCACCTTTAGCATCTACCTGCACCTCTCCTCCTACACGAACCTCCTTAACCGCTCTCCATCTTCAACCCAATGTCTTCCCCAGTTCCAGCTACTTCCACTTTATCCACCCTCACAGACAAGCTGCTTGAAAAAGTCGTCCTCACTCACTGTCTCCTTCTTCATCTCCTCATTGCTCCCCAACCCCACAAACTCAGCCCCAGCCCCACTTAATGACAGCTGGCTTTGCCACATCCCCGTGGCCTTGTTGAGTCCAAGCGATACTTGTCAGTCCCTGTCTTGCCTAACTTTTCAACATCGGATCCCTCCCATTATTCCCCCGGTTCCAAGATGACACTCTCGGGTCCCCTCCTACCTCCTTGGCCACTCCTTCCCAATCTCCTTCAGAGTATCTAAATTGGCCCAGTCCCTTTGACACAGAGTCCCATCAGGCTGTCTCCCTTCAGGCTCTCGCTGGGGGCTCGCTCATCCACGGGACTCCCTCTAGCAGGCAAATGCTCATGGCTCCCACACCCTCGTTTCTGATCTATGTGTTCCTTCTCAACCCCAGACCTGAATATGCAACTGCCTACTGAGCAGACATGGCCATTCAGAAACGCTCCAAACCCAACAGGTTAGGAGTGAACTTGCCCTCCTCCCTGCCCCTGCTCCCGTGTCTCCTATTGCAGAGGACATCATGCACGTCCAAGTCGCCCAAACAGAGAGCTCAGCATCCTTGACTCTCACCCAGCCTCGCCCGATTAATCACCTGGACCTGCCAATCCTCCTACCCAGGCAGCTCTCAGATCTGTCACCTTCTCTCCATGCCCAATACCACCCTTTTAGGTGGGGCCACCTCTGGTCCTGCTGCCACCCCTGCCTTCCACCCTCCAAGCTACAGGCAGATCCAACCATGAGACTCCCTTGTTTAAAATTACCAAAGATGGGGCGCCTGGGTGGCGCAGTCGGTTAAGCGTCCGACTTCAGCCAGGTCACGATCTCGCACTCCGTGAGTTCGAGCCCCGCGTCGGGCTCTGGGCTGATGGCTCAGAGCCTGGAGCCTGTTTCAGATTCTGTGTCTCCCTCTCTCTCTGCCCCTCCCCCGTTCATGCTCTGTCTCTCTCTGTCCCAAAAATAAATAAACGTTGAAAAAAAAAATTTAAAAAATAAATAAATAAAATAAAATAAAATTACCAAAGACCTGGCAAGGCCCTGCTTCATGTGCCTCCCTGAACCTACCTCCCTGGCCCACCCTTCCCTGCACTCCGCTCCTCCTCCTCTCTGCACCCTCACAACGTGCCTGCCACACTCTGCTCCTGCTGGAAAGGACTGACTGGCAGGGAAGCCTGACGCCTGGGTTAGAGGGGCTCCCTCCACGCACCACGAACATTCCTCAACCAAGGCCTCCAGGCCTGTTCATCTGAACCCCCACCCGGATATGGCATCTGGAGCGACCTACTCATTTTGCATTCCTACCACTAAGCGGGAGCCTGGCAATGGCTAGGTGGCCTTTAAATACTTCTGGATGAAATGCAAAAGAATAAGGGATGGAGGGGTGGAGATAAGCCTACTGGATTTGGCAAATAGGACGCCTCCATTTTCACCTTCTCCTATTCTTCAGTGGCTCTTGAGTGATGTGGAACAGTTGTCACAGTGATTGAGGGGTTCTTAGTATCGGGGGCCAGTGAAGGACAGTGGAAACATCCTGCCCCAGTTGAGAAACACTCCAGCATGTGCTCTCTTCTGGTCTCACTTGAGTCACTGGTCAGTCACTTGGGCAATAATAATAACGATAATAGCCTTGTCTATGTGTGTCCTGGGTGTGGGTCCTGTCTCCCCGCCAGACTGGGAGCTTCCAAAGGGCAAGGGCCCCGTCTCCTTTCCTCTCTGGTCCACAGTTCCTCAACCCTCAAGACCAGAGGTCACAGGAAGGGCAGAGGGACATGACCTGGGGGTTACAGGGCAGCTTTGGAGCCTGACATTCGCATTCATAGCCCAGCTCTGCACTCCTATTGTGTGAGCTTAAATAAGTTACTTAATTGCAGAGCTCCGTTTCCCTCCTTTGTGAAACAGGAGCACTGGTACCGGCTCACAGGGGCTGTAGCAGGATTTTGAGGGCACACAGGTCAAGCGTGGACAGGCCCTGGTACAGGGTAAGGACTTGAGAATGGGGGGTTGTTAGTATAATGGGACTGGCAGCCTCCTGGAGAGGCTCTGACCCACCTCTCCCAGCTCTGGGCCTCACAGTTTCCTCCTCCGCCTGCTTCCCCACCCCCGCCCCACAGCCCTGACTCCTTCCCCGCTGCCAGGGCTCCGAGGGAGCAATCAGACAATAAGGTAAGAGCCCACCGAGGGAGATGAGGGGGGGGGGGTGTGCCTTGAGACAGCGGTGAGTGGAAGGCGGGGGCTGGCAGGCTGCCATCCCAGGGGGCAGAGAATGAATCACAGACGTGAAGGAGAGACTCACTGGCATGTCAGAGCCTGGGCCCCAGGCCTGGGCTGGAGCCCTGGTCTGTTTACAGAGTGTCAGAACAGGGGAGGGAGGCTCAGGTGGAAGCCGGTCTAAACCCAGTGTCCTCCCCCAACGTATCCCATTCTAGGGCCAATCCTGGACCAGCAGGGGAAGCAGCAGAACATGTAGGGGAAGTGCACAAGACTGTGCTGCTTAGCAAGTGATAACTTCTCTCTGAGCCTCATTTCCTCATCCGTAAAATGGGGATAATCATAGTGTCTGCCTGGTAGGGTTGTTTATAAGGATCAAATGACAAATACCTGTAAAGCACTCAGCACCGTGTCTCACACATAGAAAAAGAGTGGTTTCGTTCTTATTGCTGTTAAGGGCTTGGTACGTTGAAGGAGGTGAGACCCACTCGGTCTCAGATCCAGAAGCAAATTCAGGGGGCAAAGTGGATAGAGTTGAGGGATGGGGAGGGGACCGGGCAGGACAGAGCCACAGGGTGGCTTTCTGGAGAAAAAAGCAGCATCTTGGTGCTGGGATTCCCAAGCACCTCTAAGGTTCTGTGATGCCCCTTAAAAGCACAGGGTCCAGGCCCACTCCTGATTTCTCTCCTCCCCCCTACCCCCACCCCTGAGCCAGGGAGAGCATCTCTGCTTTCTGTCTGGAGATGTTGAGGAGGAGCGTTGTTAAACCTCACCATTCACGGGCGAGAGTCTCATGCCTGCCCTCAGTGGGGTGGACTCTGCCCCACTTCTGAGCCTGCTCATTCCCGGGCTGTCTCCCTGTCGCCATCTGCTCAGGACCTGGAGTCCTGCAGACCCTCCCACAGAAGTCCTGGTGAGGGGCCTGGGGACTCCATTCCAGAGTCCTCAGGGCACCTGAGTCTGCCAGGGGGTGCTGACGTACTGGGAGCCATGCCAACCTGCCATGTGTGTTGGCCGGGGTGGCCGTCCCTGGGGCCTCATTAGCTTTATCATACAGTGCCCCCAGTTCCCCAAGATGCATGCCTCCTTGCCTGGTCTGCAGACGGGTCCTCTGTTCTATGCCCTAAGAAAGGCTCTAGGCGTGAATGTCTCCTCCCCTGGGACTCCCAACTTGACTGAGCCTCCCCACCACTCCTCTGCTCCTCCGAGGAGCCACCGAGGCCAGGATGGGCCTCCTTCCTGTCAGCCTATGGTTGGCTTGTATTAATTCAAGGCCCACTCGGACTGTTCTGGGCTCAGGATGGTTCAGGAGGCTTTGGGCTGAGCCCACATCTCCACCATACCTCTACCCAGGAGCGGGCCTGGGACAGCTGGAGTGCGCAAGCTCCTTTCCGGGCATTCAGAGCTCCCACCCCCGAAGACCCCCTGCTCTCTGAGATGTGTCAGATTCCCTTACATGGAGCCTTCCAGCCCCCTGCCGGTCTTGTCTCGTATTTACCACATGTACCACGTGCAGCCCCACTCCCACGCTTTTGCTTGAGCCACTTCAGTCTGCATCTGTTGAGGTGCACCCTCTCAAGTGGACTGAGGTCTTGGATGTCTCAGGCTCAGCCCTCCCGCCTCCCCTCCTCTGAATGCTGCTCACTCCCGTGCTGCTTTGTGCCACTCACTACTTTTCCCTACAGAGGTCTCCTCCCCAGTAGCCCCAGTGCCCAGTATGGCGCTGGGCTCACAGCAGGCGCTGAAGGAGACTTCGGTGAGAGTGGTATTGCTCTGAGCCCAGGGTAGTTCTGGCCTGGAATTACCCCCAAATGACCCCTAATTGCTCGGACAGGAGGGTCAAGGATCACCTAAGCCACCCAACTTCTCTTAAGTTACCTGCCATGTTCTTTAAAGAATAGAGGGCAAACAGGAGCCAAGTGCCTTGAGAAGAAGGGAGCCTGCCAAGTGGAGTGATTAAGAGCACAAGCCTCAACCTGAATCCTGGATTTGAATCCCAGCTCCGCCACAGACTAGCTGTGTGACCTTGGGCAAATTACTCAACCTCTCTGAGCCTTAGTTTTCTGAGATAATCATACCCAGTAGACTCGAGGATCGAATGCAATACTGTATATCCAGCGCACAGAACAAGGCCCAGCCCTTATTAGGCATTCTGTAAGTGGTAGTTACTATGATTAATAATTCATAGGCATTAATAACAACAATGTTAATAAGAGTAGCAACTATTATCATTAGTGTGGGCCAAGGTGTTCCAGCGCCCCCCCCCCCCCCTCAGGGCCAAGGTCTGGGTCTCTCCAGCCAGGGCCCCAGCCCACCTCCCCTCTTTGTGCAAGCACCAGAACCTATGTCTGTCTTCTTCCCTCCCCCTCAGATCCAAAGGGCCCGTCTGGTCATGCTCTTGTGAGGACAGTCTTCCTTTGGGGTGGAGAGAGCCATGGGCTTGGATTATGTCTGTGGAGACTTCCCACCCTGTGCCACTGAGGGTTCTCTGCGAAGGGGCCTGGAGGCCTGGGGTATACTCACTAGGATGCCCAGTACCATCCTGGGTTGGCCTGGACATAGTCCTTAACGGGGTCACTGCAGAGAAAGGAGGGGGAGAGAATCAGAATCTCCCCTATGTCTCCATTTCCACGTCTGCACCTGCCCCACCACGGTTCCCAGGACTTGCGAAGAAGAAAGGAAGAAGGGATCCTGGTGGCATAGGGAGCCCCAGCCACAGTCCCCGGCTGGGACATGGAGGTACCCGGCTGTGGGGCTGGAAGATCTGAGAGGAATGACCACTTCCCAGGCACCAACAGGCCCAGAAGGTACCGGGTCCACCCCTGCTGGCTAGAGGACTCCTCCGTGGGCACTCCCTAAGATTCCTCCCCAGTGTGAGGGCCTCCACTGCCCCACACAAATCTTTTCAGGCAAACATTCCAAAAGCAGTCTGATTCAGGGACCCCCGCCCCAGGCCTTGCCATGGCTGCCCCTAGAAGGTGCTGGTTCACACAACCAACTCACCAGAAGGTAAAGAGAGCCACGACACCCAACGTCACCAGCAGCTGGATCAGTAGGATTGTATAGACCTAGGTTTGGGAGGGAGTTCCGGTCAGCTTGGGGAGCCCCCACTGGAGGCTAGGGAGGCTCAGGCCCCCAGTGAGGCTCAGCGAGTACCTCAGCTTCCTAGTGACTCAATCTACTCTCCAGACCTACATCCTATACCCTCCCCTTTCTTTCCTAGGGGTCACTAGAATGGACCCAGGACAAGGTGAAAGACAAGCAACTTTGCTCCAGAGCCCACCCCCACAGGACAAGGGGCCCCATGTATCTGGAGACAGGTTGAGACAATGAGTTTGGGTATAGCAGGGGGCAGTGGGGTGAAGCACTTCCCAGCAGGTGCTATCAGCTGGGGTCACTAGAGAAGGGGGCACAGGGATGGCCTCTGTAGACAGAGGGCTGGGCCAGGGCCTTCTCAAGGGACACCCTGTCCTCCCCCCCAGTCCCCCAGTCCTGGAGAGTTGGGAGGAGGTGGTTACCTTTCTGATGAAGACTCGGCGAACTTTCTGGTCGTCCCAACTGAAGGTGGTGAAGAGCTCATGGTCTCCGGCGGGGAATCCGTTCTCATAGCTAGAGCTGCCTGTATGGACATGGGGAGGGCCATGAGGGCTCCCATGTATATAAATGCTGCCCCCAATGGCCACCTGTTCAGAGCTGACTTTTGTCAAACTGGTTCTCTGGACTGGGGAAGCTTTTTTCTCTAGTTCCGTTCTCAAACCTCCCACCCCACCCCATCCCACCCTCAGATCTTTTTCCCCAGCTGCTTCTCCTGAGTCCTGAGAATACACTGTCATCTCCCTACCCTTCCTTGCATGCTGACTGGGGCTCCCTGGGGGCCAATCCCTGCCATACAAATGTGGCCCTTTTCTCTTGTGTCCCCCACTCTCCTCCCTAAACACACTGGCTCCCTTTAGTGGCTAAGAATCAGAGAGAGACAGCCACTCTCCCAAGGCCACCTAGCACATCTCAGGGTCTAAGGTCCTACCCCTGCCTGCTCTGAGGCCCTTGGGGTGAGAACCAGGGACTAGTTGGATGGGAGAACCTTCTGGTGCCCCAGCTGGGAAGCAGGGCAGGGGGAAGACTGGAGGGGGAAGTAAAGCCAGGACAAGGGCAAGGAGTGGGGTATGGCTGGGGATGAAGTTTGGGGGCCTGGTCCCAGAACTGAGAACCCAGATATCAGGCCTGTGAAAGAGCATAGGATCCACAGTCAAACAGACCCACATGTGGCTCCCTCTTCTCAGACTGACTATCAGCCATCTTGGAGTGTCTTCTGCGATATGGGTCCGTGACACTCACCTCCTGGGGACAAAACTAGATGAAAGCGAAAGCCGATGGCTCTGTGCCTGGTGGGGACTATGCTGCCCTCTCCTTTGCACCCCTCATCTGGGCCATTCCTGAGGCCTCTGCTCTGTTCTCTTCCACTGTCCTTTTAATTCTTGCCATTTCTCCACGATCTTACCCTCCCTCCACAGCAAAAGCGTCAGTCTTGGTCTTTCAAAGCTGACCCTGCATCAAGCTCTTTGATGGCTCCCCACTGCCTTTTACTCAAGTTCAAGTTCTTTAACAAAGCTTCCACAGCCTCCCCCGAGCTCTCAGCCCCAATGCACACTGTTCCCTCCTACTTTTCTCCAGCCTGACTATATTTTTTCGGCCATGTGCTTTCTTGCCTCTGCACATTATATTCTTTCAGCCTGAACACTCATTTCCCTGCCTCTTCACCAGGCTAACTCATTGAGTCTTCAGGACTCAATGTGGATACCCCTTTGTCCAGGAAGTCTTCCCTGACTGCCACACGGATTAGGTAAGCTGCCTAGGCCTCTATCACTGCATCTCTTTCATTGTGTGGTAGTTGTCTGTTTACTTGTCTATACAGTCAGGCCCGTGGGGGCAACAAGTCTTGCAAATCCATGCATCGC